AAACCCAATTTTCAGAAAACTGAATCTAAAAAACTGAAACCAAACATATTGAATGGGTTTTTGTTTGATATAATTTGGTTGATTTTATCATAAAAAAAATATAGATTTTTGGAAATTGAAATTGGTTATAATATGGTATATAAATTTATAATTTAATGAGAAGTGATAAAATTAGAATATGAAATATCAGTATGGAGAGTTTAAATTTTTTGGAATAAATTATTAAAAATAAGATTTAGTTGTTCACATTAATTAAAATTTTATTTTCTATTTCATACTTAAATTTATTATTTCCGTTTATTCAGTTCTTAAAATTTTTAATTTGAGCTAATGTAGTCTAATTAGAGATGGTTGTTCAAATTAGTTAAAACCTAATTTGATGGGTAAGAAATTCATTTTAATATTTGAACAACTTAAACTATATAACTATACATTTATTTTTTAGAAATAACAGGTGGAGAGGAAGGTAGGTGTTTAGTTGCAAAGTATAAATTGTTTAATATAATACGAGTAAAAAAATAAAATTTTGAGATATTTTCTGAAAAATCTGTGTCCTTTGATCACTCATAGAGATTTTGTTTGCAAATACTATTTCAATTTTTTTTTTCTCAAATCCAAACCAAACAAGGGTTAAATGTTTGGTTGCATGATTTAAATTGTCTAAATTATAGAAGAAAAATGCTTGAGATTCCCATTTTTTGGAGGTCCCACAACCCCTTTGGATCTCAACCATTGATGTATGTGTGGGACTCACTCATATATGTGTGGGGCCCACACCATTAATGATAAAGATCCAAAGCGATTGTGGGGGTCTCCAAAAAATAGAGATCTCAATCATTATTGTAAAAAAAACTTTAAAGACTACCTCAATGAAATTGATAGTTTAAAAATATATTTTTTTTGACACAACAAATATTTAAAAAATAAAAAAAATAAAAATAAAAATCACCCAAACCAATGAAGGGGGAAAATCTTGATAAAGTCTTGATAAGGTATGAAGATGCAATTAAGCACAAATTTTAAGATGCAATTAATCAAGAATGTTTAAGTCAAGGGTTGCATAATCACACCTTGACAACAAAAGGGCAAAACACCGTCAAAGGTATCTATCAAGATCTCTAAACCTTTGTCAAACACCCACTAAAAGGTTTACTCATTGATTAAACTAATTGTCAAATTATGAATCTATGCTAAATCACACCCGACATGAATCGGACACACTTCGACATACTCACACATTTGATTATTCATCTGTCTCCACTTGGACCTTAGGGCCTGAACTCCTGTATAGTCTCAACTTGAATGCACAGCAATCACTGTTGCACGATCAATGAAACTTTTCTAGATTACATTTTGACGATCCGAATCGTTCACTTTTTAGAAGATATTACATTAAAACGTGCTTGTAAAAATTCAAGTTAATTGGATATCGGTATTCCTTTCATCAAGTCATGTTTCTATTCAGATTTATACTAAAACTTAAATTTACCATTCAATTATTTAGATATAAATGTCTTGATAAAAGGGATATCAATATTCGATGAACTTGAATTTTTTCAGATATATTCTATTCGATATTTTCTGAAAAGTAAACTGTTCGGATCGTCAAAATGTTACCCAAAAAAAGCCCTATTGGCTACACAACAGTGGCAGCCACCCTAAACTTGTACAGTCCATCAACCCAAAATCGTGTTTCATGATTTTACAATGAATTGGGTCTAAATCACCTAATCTTGAACAAAAGAAGACACTAATTATTAGATTAGATTACATTAGATTAGGACAATCTTTGATAATATTCACGATTAGTCATTTAATTGTGAAGAGCATTTATTCGGTACCTCAAGCGGCATTACTACAGAGGAAAAAAAATCATTATTTGTCTCTTGCTATTTAATAAAAATGAGCCCGTATCTCTTATAAATAAGAGATTTTATTACGTAATTAATTTAAAACATTACACAAGCAACTATAGTGGTCATGTACATGATTAATTAGTATGAATCTTACATCAATTAAGGGTGTGAAACAGAGATTAAATTCAAATTCAAATTTGAAGAAATCCAAATTTGATTTGATCATCTGAATTCAATCTATCCATATACCCGATCTAGAGGGGGAAAAAAAGTCATTGGACCCGATTTATTAAAATACTCTATTTTTTCTTCATTTTTTATTTTTATTTTTATTTTTTAAAGTTGTTATTCATTACTTTTGAAATATAATCATCAATTAGGAGAAGTTTCACCTCAATGGGTGTTTAAAAAAATAATTTTAAATTAATGATAAATTTTATAAATATAAAAAATAAAATTATAAAATTTTCATCACTATGCAATTAATTTCTGAAAAAATTTCTGACAGGTAATTTTTCCCATGTCAAATTGAAAATTATGCAATTGAATATTCATTAACAAATAGAATTTTTCGAATCAGATTCAGAAGAATTTTTTATTTTTTATTTTTTTGGTGGCTTTTGGCAATAGCGTTTGGAGGCGGCCTTTGTGAATTTCAAATGACCAAATCAATGCAAAGTGGCCTAGGCCTCATCATGTATCGCGTATATATGGACCCCCATTTTTTTTTTTTTTATTTATTTATTTATTTTTTTTTGTAGAAGCGGCGAAAATGTCATATTCATCACAGTTGTCCCCCAAAATCACTTGAATAATAATTTTTCCTTCCTAAAAATGTTATAAATTTTAAATAATTTATCAAATTTTTTACTAAATTTTTTACATAAATATCCAACTCATACAAATCAACTTAAATATACATCTTACACACATAAAAAAATTGATAAAAAATTTAATAAATTATTTAAATCCCTAACATAACTCCTCCCTCTCCCACCACTCACTCTCATACAATAGTCACATCCACTTATATGGGAAACCAGCCCCATCACACATCACATTTTTTTTTTTTATTTATTTATTTTTTTTTTCTCTCTCTCATGATTAAGTTCTGGATTGAAAAATTCTCCCATCTATTAACAAAAAATTATATAAATTTTTATAAGTGATCTCATAAAAATATATAAGTTAAAACAAAATTTATATACTTACATAAATTTTTATGAATTTACGTGAATAATCTTATAAAAATATATAAATTAAATACAAATTTACATAATCACATAAATTTATATTCAACTTAGGTAATTTGTATTCGCCATGAGTGCTTCCCTTACTCTTTGGATTAAAAGCACAAATCCAAATTCTACTTGTGACTTTTTGGTGCACAAATTAACCTAACCCTATGCTACTCTTTTTTTCTTTATGTTCTTTTAAAAAAAATAAAAATAAAAATAAAATTAATCATGATCTTTTAATTGGGTCTCGATCGGAATCATTCATTTATTTCTCTTAAAAAGAATAGACCGAAAATAGGCATTTTTGTTATTACCCTCATCATTGTACAAAATATTTTTATTACAATTTTATATTTAAATCAAATATCTTTTCCTCTTTCAAATTCATCACTCCTACCTATACTCTTTTTCAAATCCACCCAAACCCTTCTCTCCTCCACCCAATCCATCTCCCCTATATATATATATATATATATATATTTCGTCTTTATGCTATGCTCTGTTTTTGTTTGTTTAGTTATGGTGACTATTAGGGGGTGTATGTTCAAACTTACCCATTCTGTAATTGGGATCTTTGATTATTTTAGACATGCTCTAATGCCGACTCTATGATCGGTTCTGCTTGGCAGTATAAGCACGAACACATGATATGGGTCTAAATATTTTCTTAGATTTCTCTCCGTTGTGCTTTTTGTAAAATCTTTCTTTGTTTAGTGTAAATTTTGATTTTGATGGATCTTATAAGTGCCATTTGGTCTTTTTAAATGAAATTATCTATTGTTCAAAAAAAAGAGGTAAGGGAAATAGAGGAGTACGGGTATGCGATGTGGTAGTGGGGGAATGCCATGGAAAAAGGCTAGTGGCTATAGGTGAAAGGAAAAAGACAAAAAAAAAAAAAAAAGAAGCAAAAAAAAAAAGAAAAGAAAAGATGGTGGGTAGCTATGGAAGAGGATAGGAGGTGTTTGGGGAGGGAAAGAAAAAGACGGGTATAACAAGATTAATTCAGTGATTAGGCTTATGGAAAGTTCAAAGACAAATGATTCAGATAAAGTGAATAGTTAGGCCAAGTTTGGCTACTGCCAAAAAAGTGCACTTATTTCATCTTTTTATCTTTTTTGGGTCACATCAATCAACATCTCCTCTCTACTTTTTCTACACATAATACAAAAAAAGTCAAAAAGTGTACTTATTTAGTCTTCCCAAACTAGGCCTTAATAAATAGTGATTTTGATATGGTGCAATGATATTCAGAATTGTAATCAACATTAAGTTGAAAAAACAACAAATGAGATATGTTTTGTAAAAACTCGGGATTAAAATTGTTATAAAGTTTAAACATTACGTTTTAAATTGAAAAAATTAAAAATTCTGACAAAATTCTGTGCTAATCCTGTGGGTGTGGCCCAGCACGGATCGTTGAGGTTGATCCAAAATTGAAAATTTAACTCGGGGTGGATCGATTGCCCAATCACTCACTTCAGTTCCTTAGGCAGCCCAATGCTTGAGAAGCCCAAAATAAGGCCTCATCATAAAAGTTGGACTAGAACTTATTGAAAAATAAGTCCAGTCCATAAGATGTTACCGCCCCAATTAATTTTCAATGGGCGGAATGATAACATTCAAAAGTCAGTTGGGAGGGGCTGGGCTGGTTTGAAGCCCGCAAGCCCAATTACAAGTGAGATGATGTTTGGGAACAAATAAAAAAAAAATCAAAAAATCGCTACAAAAAGTCTAATAAGGCCTGTTTGGAGTGTTGCCTTTTTGATTAAAAAAAAAACCTACAACACCCAATCACATCACTTTTTTTTATTTTTTTTACACATTTTTTTTTTTTGTTGTAAAAAATAACTAAAATAATCCTTAACATTTTTTAATAAAAAAACCAAAAAACTACTAACAAAAAACAATTCCCAAACAACACCTTACTAGAAGCACTAGACCCATTGGCGCTCTCTGTCTCTCTCCACAACTGTCATTAATGGCTGCTTCAATCTCTACACCCATCTTCCATGCAAAACCATCTATATCCATATGTATATCTTCATCACAACCATACCTATCAAAATTCACAACACCCAGAATCAAAACCAGACCCAAAACCACATTCGCACACCACTCTTTAACCCCAATCGCAACTCTTTCTGACCCATTTGTCCTCCAAATTGCAGAAACCCTAGAAGATTCTCTCTCTTCTCCCTCTTCCTCGCCACCGCCTCTTCAGAAGCTCAGAGACACTTCCTCTCAGTCCCTCCTCTCAACCCCATGGCCGTCTCGCAAGGACGAGCCCTTTCGATTCACTGACACTTCCTTCATAAAACTCTCTGAAATTCAACCCATTTCATCCCCACCTCCTCATTTGGATTCTTTGTCTGTTTCCATTGATACCCATTTGCCCAATCTTGTCATTGTTGATGGGTTTCTTGTAAATTCTCTAACCCAATTGCCTAAATTCCCTAATGGTGTGTTTGTTGGTACCCTATCGAGCCTCGATTCGGAGGCTGTGATGAAAAGGGTATCTGAATTTGTGTTGAATTTCGAGGGAGACTTGTTTTGGTCACTTAATGGATTGGGTACCCCTGATTTGGTGATTGTGTATGTTCCTGAGGGATGTAGGGTTGAGAGTCCTTTGCATTTGAGGTATTGTTCGGTTTCAGGGGCCGATAAGGGGTCGAAAAAGCTGCCCATTTCGAATCCGAGGGTGTTGGTGGTGGTGGAGAAGGGAGGGGAGGTGGGTATAGTTGAGGAGTTTGTTGGGGGAGATGGGGAGAAGAGTTATTGGGCAAATTCAGTTATGGAAGTTGTCATTGGAGAAGGGGCAAAGGTTAACCATTCTTACATTCAAAGCCAGTCTATGAATGCTGCACATATCAAGTGGACTTTGGTTCAGCAGGTAAAACTTTTGTGCCTTTCTTGAATTTCTTGAATTCATGTCGTGATGGTTGGTTCATATTTTGTAGCAGATGGACATATTTATCTACTTGTTTATGCAGGCATAATGTTAGGTTGCGTTTGGAAATATGGATTTCAAATCAGTGATATTTGGCATTGATCACTCAAAATGTATATACCCAATTCAAATAGTATAAAAATTAGGTTATATATCAATAGGGATGAATTTGAAATAACATGATTAAAATAGTTATTTGGAATCCTTACAAAAAGATATCTACTCAAATCCTCTTTCCAAGTATTTCAATCCGACTCTAATGGCAAAATCTCTTACGTTTTGTTTATCTTGGCCTCAAATTTCTTCACTTCCAATCCATTCATGCAAACATAGAATTAGTGTTTATTTGCTTGTTTTAATATTAGTTTTTTCATGGTTTTTGTAATCAAATTATGTAACAAAAACTCTCTTTTATTATTTTTTTGGCTGTGTGAAAAAAGAAGAGACTCACTTAAGCTTATGCTTATGTTTATGTTTAATTCAGGACTGCAACTAGCAACCCTTTAGTATTTACATTTCTATGGTGCACAATTTTGCTTTGTTTTGTGTAATGTAGTAATTGGAAATCCAATTATTTTGCAAATCTGCAGGAAAGACGTATATGATACAAAGATTTTGTTGTTGGTGATCCAAAAGTTGTCTATGGAACATGAGTTATTTTTCAATGCATTTCTGTCTTCGACAATTATGCACTTAAACATTTTTTTAGTTTGGTTTCCTATTGCATCTCTTCCTCCCAACCTAAGGAAAGGAGGTGATATGATGATATTCAAAAAAATGTTCCTGATTGAATGTGCATTTTTGTGATCTCAACCTTGTCATAGCCACAAGGCTAACGCTGCCTTCATATCATTTGGTAATGGCAATGCCTGTTCTGCAACTTCCTAATGTCGGTGTAAATAATTGATCCAACAACTTTAGATGTGTGACCTTCCAAGGAAGAACATTAGGTTTGTACCTAAATTCACCATATGCAGGAATCAGCAAGCACTTATGAGCTTGTAGAGGTAAGCACTGGTGGGAAGTTGAGCAGACACAATCTTCATGTTCAGCAAGTTGGCCCGGACACTATGACAGAGTTATCAACATTTCACTTGTCTGTCGGTGATCAAACACAAGATCTACATAGTAGAGTAGTGTTGGACCACCCACGAGGGGTTTCTCGGCAACTTCACAAGTGCATTGTGGCTCATTCTCTGGGACAGGCTGTATTTGATGGGAACATCAAGGTCAACAGGTAATTGTGTTTTGTTGGATCTTTTGCTGTTCTTAAAGTACATGGCTGATTGATATCGTGTCAGTTACATGCCAATATTCATTTTTTGGTTATGTGATTATACTGGTTATCATGTTGCTAATGACTTTCTAAACTAATTGTGTATATCTTCCATATTGAGTTATTTAGACATTTATTATCATTTAGTAAATGACCTTAGATAGTCTCTTTGGGGTATGGTGTCTGTAATGTCAACATGGTTGTTAGAATCTTATGATTCATGATTTGATACGAGTTTCAACCAAAATGATTTGATTCTTGCTGTTGAATCTTAAATTGGGTGAATTTTACGATTCGATTGTGATCCAATACAATTCGTTATGTTTAGTCTTGTTTGAATAACGTAGGCAGGAAACAATGTATTTTTTTGCGCTCACACAAAAAAAAAAAATTTTTTGCCCCCCCAAAAAAAAAAAAAAAAAAAAAAAAAAAGATAAAGTGAGATCAATTAATTATATTGGTATACATGGTTTTATCTGTATATACATGTATATAATTTAGTTGTATTGAATTTTTTTTCATTTTAATTGATTGTGCAGATATGCACAGCAGACAGATGCTGGACAACTAACAAGGAGCTTACTCCTTGAGCCTCGTGCAACTGTGAATGTCAAGCCCAATCTCCAGATCATCGCCGATGATGTGAAGTGTTCCCATGGAGCTGCAATTAGTGATCTAGAAGAGAACCAACTGTTCTACTTTCAGGCACGGGGGGTTGACTTAGAAACAGCTAGAAAAGCTCTCATCTTCTCGTTTGGCGCTGAGGTGATTGAGCGTTTGCCTTCCACTTCTCTCCAAAAGAAAGTAGAAAGTCATATCAAAGAATTGCTGATTCCCATAGTCAAGGGTTCTCGGTGAGAGGTGATGAACGCTATACAACTCTGAATTTTTTGTTTTGTAAATTATCATTGGTTTACCAAAGAATCTATGCAAAATCAAGTTGAGATATTGAGGGAAGTTTTGTGATATTGAAACCAAGTTGTGTTTCTTGCTCTCCCCACCTCAGCCCCTCTCCTGCTGCAAGAAGAACCAAAAATGTTGTGAAAAAATGCTTCTATTTTTAAAAAGGGTTCTCATTCTCGCCCAGATTGTCAATTGTAAATTCTTAAAAAGTTCATTTTGATCAAAGTAGGCAGCCTTGAGATTCATTTTGGTCTTTTTTTCAAGTCTGATAGAAAACAGCCTTTATGGCTTAAAGTTCTGCTTGTTTTATGACTTAAAGATCTGCTTGTATTTAGAATTAAGATCGTGTTCTTTTTACTGCCCTCCATTGTTCTTCATGTCCCCTCTAAACTTCTTCACACAACTCAAAAGAGTGAGAAAATCAGATGGAAAGCTAATGGTTACATTTCTGCATTCAATCAAAGAAAAGCATGCATTGGCACTTAAGACCCGCAATTAAGCACGAAGGATGTCTGAGCAATCGAAGAGTTAGGTCTTGAAAACTCAAGTATTGGTAGGAATACTGAGGGATTTGAATCCTTCACTATCCACCCCGAGGTCATAATTTCTCTCTTCCCTTACCTATAGATAAGAATGAATGAATCAGAGCAACTTCTACCAGATTTGTTGAATTGAATGGCCTAGTAGGAGTGAATTTCAAAGTGCTTCTCGGTTTTCACACAGTAATTTAGTTGGGAGTTTTCAAATTCATCTACTAAATTTTTCTTTATACATCTACCTTACTCTTTAAAATACAAGACTTTGTGTAAAATAAGATTTCGAGGGTGCATTATTTAGAAGTTCCATAATTAATGAATATTTTGACTAGTGCTGACAGCCAATAGCATTTTAACTTTTTATTTATGGGCAAATTACATATACCCCTCGAGATTTGGCTAAATTACAAATATCCTTCTGAGATTTGAGAAATTACGAATTTCTCCCTGAATGCTATATTTGCATAACAAATTAGGGGGTAATTTGTTATGAAATTTAAACCTCAGGGAGCAAATTGTTATGAAAATACAAACCTTAAGGGGTGGGATGTAATTTTTGAAACCTCAGGGGGTATCTGTAATTTAGTCAAACCTCAAGGGAGGTATATGTAATTTACCCTTTATTTATTTATTTTTTTGGCCCCTCACCTTCTTTGAATCCATCTCAAAAAAAGATCAAATTTTATGAAATTTCTTTTTGACACCTGACTTAATACTAAAATTAGGGGGGTGCGCGATGTGGTTCAGGCGGTTTAATAGTAAAATTATAAATTAATTGGCGGATTGGCAAATTACGGTTTGAGCGATTTTGAACGGATTGGCAGATTAAAGAATATCATAACCAATGAATAAGCCTTTGCATAATATATAACACTAATTTGTATTGCACAAACTAATTTTATATAATATTTTTCATATATATAACTAATTTGTAATAAAAATCACATATTAAATCTATTTCACATTTATTTTTACTTTGATATTATATAAGTTGAAAAATATATACGTATTAACTACTATAGCAGAGTAAAGCGATTTCGAAAGCGGATTATAAATTTTAAAGTTTAAAGTGCGATTAGCGGATAAAGTGGTGCGAATTGATACGAATCGATGCGATTTTAACAAATTTGACGGTATTTTGCACAATCCTAACTAAAACTATCTCCAATCCTATCAAAGTTGCCCTCCTTCCATCCCACCCACCACCACCATTTTTGGAGCTCACCCAGAACGCTGCAACCCACCCCAACCCTTCCCCACCACCATGACCCCCAACAGGCTTGCCTAACCACTGTGACCACCTTCTACTCCTCAAGGTCTCCTCAGAGATACTATTTGGCACTATCTACGTTATACTCCAAACTAATTACCTAGCGAACAAATTTATGTGCGAAACATGTTGACTTATTTTTGTTAAATTGTTAAGAAAAAAAACACACATTTAATGTGTTGTGATTTTTTAAACAAATTCTATTCGAAAAATATTTTAATGATTTTTGCATGCACTTGCTCTCACTCTTTTATATCGTCAAATGTAAAACATGTATCGTTCAGAAAAAATGTGAGACATTTCTCCATTTGGAGTGTGTTTAGAGATAAGGTCACAAAAATATCCATACATTCCCAGCACAAATACACAGATATTTCCGTCAAGCCATTATCAACCAAACCTCTACTCAACCCTCTCTCTCTCTCTCTCAGTCACACACACAAACACCATGCCTGCAACTATCTCCACAGCTCTAGATTTCAACTGCCCAATTTCCTTCACCTCTCCACCAAGACTCCCCATCACCACCCCCACCACCACCACCAGAAGACTCACCATTTCATGTTCCTCCTCTTCCTCCAAATCTCCTCCACCAGATTTGGCTGAGCTCCACCACCACCAACAGAACAACAACCCGTCTCTCTCTGACCAGCTCAGGCCTCTCTCCACCACCACCCTCTCCGACACTCCCACCAAAGAATACCCACCACAAACACCCCAAACCCACCTCCTAGCCAAGCCTAAATCCACCTGGGTCAACCCCACACGGCCTAAACTCTCTGTCCTCACCCTCCAACGCCACAAAAGGTCTCGACACTCTTACAATCCCCAAATCAGAGACCTCAAGCTCTTTGCCAAGAAGCTCAATGACTGTGACACCTCAAAAGAAGCTTTCTTGGAAGTGGTTGATGAAATGCCTCACCCACCCAACAGAGAAAATTCACTGTTGGTGCTCAACAGCTTGAGACCATGGCAAAAGACCCTCCTTTTCTTCAATTGGATCAAGACCCAGAACTTTTTTCCTGTAGAAACAATCTTCTACAATGTCACAATGAAGTCTTTGAGGTTTGGTAGGCAATTTCAGCTTATAGAAGACCTTGCACATGACATGATAAACAATGGGATTGAGCTTGATAACATTACATATTCAACTATTATTACTTGTGCCAAGAGGTGTAATCTATTTGACAAGGCTGTGGAGTGGTTTGAGAGGATGTACAAGACTGGTTTGATGCCCGATGAGGTTACATACTCTGCCATTTTAGATGTGTACGCTAAGTTGGGGAAGGTTGAGGAGGTGATGAGTTTGTACGAGAGAGGGCGGGCGAGCGGGTGGAAACCCGACCCCATTGCTTTTTCCGTGTTAGCGAAGATGTTTGGTGAAGCTGGGGACTATGATGGCATAAGGTATGTGCTCCAAGAGATGAGGTCTCTTGGGGTAGAGCGCAATTTGGTTGTGTACAACACATTATTGGAAGCAATGGGCAAGACTGGAAAGCCTGGCTTGGCTAGAAGCTTGTTTGAGGAAATGGTCGAATCAGGGGTTAGCCCGAATGAGAAAACCCTAACCGCACTAGTGAAGATTTATGGCAAGGCGAGGTGGGCTCGTGATGCGTTGGAGTTGTGGGAACGCATGAGGTCAAATGGGTGGCCAATGGACTTCATTTTGTACAACACGTTGTTGAGTATGTGCGCGGATCTTGGGTTGGAGGAGGATGCGGAGAGGTTGTTTGAGGATATGATGAGGTTGGAGCATTGTAGGCCGGATAGTTGGAGCTACACCGCAATGCTCAACATTTACGGAAGCGGAGGGAGGGTTGACAAGGCGATGGAACTGTTCGAGGAAATGCCTAAGAGGGGTGTTGAGCTCAATGTCATGGGATGTACTTGTTTGATACAATGCTTGGGGAGGGCTAAGAGAATTGATGACTTGGTTAGGGTTTTTGAGGTCTCAATTGAAAGAGGTATAAAGCCGGATGATAGGCTTTGTGGGTGTTTGTTGTCTGTTGTGTCATACTGCGAAGAAGGCAAAGACATTAACAAGGTCCTCAGTCTTTTGCAACATGCGAACCCACAATTAGTTGCATTCATTAAATTGCTCAGGGAAGAGAAAACAAGTTTTGAGACCATCCGAGAGGAGTTCAGAGGCATACTTAATGCCACAGCAGTAGATGCTCGAAGACCCTTCTGCAACTGCTTGATTGATATATGTCGAAAGAGAAACCTCCATGAGAGGGCCCACGAACTACTTTACGTAGGAACAGTATATGGTTTGTACCCCGGTTTACATACCAAGACACCCGAGGAATGGCGTCTGAATGTCCGGTCACTGTCCGTGGGTGCAGCCCACACTGCATTTGAAGAATGGATGGATACTCTGACGCAAATCATCAAGCGCCAAGAAGCATTGCCAGAGTTATTTTCAGCCCACACCGGTTCAGGAACCCACAAGTTCTCTCAAGGACTAGCCAGTGCGTTTGAATCTCATGTTCAGAAGCTCGCTGCACCTTTTTCGCAGAGCGAAGAGAAACCTGGGTTTTTCATTGCAACCAGAGAAGATATAGTAGAATGGGTTCAATCAAGAGCTCCATCACCTGCCATTACAGCATAAATGATGATCCAAGTGTTCCACATTTTAAATCAAGTGTTCACTCTTTGTACCGCATGTAATTACAGATGCAACAGCTACAACCACCAAAATGTAAAATTTCATTCTACTCGCTTGTTGCAGTGTTGTATAATTGTAACTTGTTTCAAACTTTTTTTACACAACCTTTGATCTCAGAAGAATATAGTTTAGAAGTTTCCAACTAAGATTACCTGTAATAGTTTGTAAAGATGGATCTAACAAGAAATTTTTGACTCTTTGTAAACTGCATTGATGGAAATATGGAAATACACCGACAAAATTACAGATATTCTCACCTTTGACAAGGGAAAATGCTAATGTTCTGTAAAGGAAATCTAAACCCCCACCAAATTACAACCACATCTTTTTTCGCTATAAAAGAGATGAAAATGAATGAAACAAGCCTCCATCTGTGCAAAATTCTTAAAAGAAGAAAAAGAAACAAAGAAAGAAAGAAATAAAGAAAGAAAGAAGGGATCTCTTTCACTAAAGACCAGTTCCCGTCAATCCCAACTACAAAATTCCTATTTGCCATCCAAAAACCTATATTTTGGCAGGAACCTGGAGTCTTGGTAAATGTCTAACTGCCTTCGCCATTTGTCATGCGGGGTTCCCCCTTTGACAATATGCTCACGACGCGAGATGAAAGAATCGTTGTGGACCCATGAAAAGAGGATCGGCATTGGAACTTCGATCACCTCAGCTCCAGGATCAAAGCCGATGTCACTGGCTGAGAAATTTCATAAGGGTTTCAAAGGTATTTTCCAGAGGACTTCCAAATTCTTCCTTCAAGTGATATTACCATTACAGTAACATCATCATGGTATTTTCTACGATCACCTTGTGGGATGTCAAGCAATTCATGTAAATCCATTCCTGAATGAAACTTAAAAATTAGGTCTGAAACTGACAGACTTGAAAAGACATGAGGAACAGTCTGTAAATGCATCAACTTGAAGAAAGTAACGAGAAATTTAATATCCGGTCTAACTATAAAGCTTCTTGTCAGGTCTATTGAATTGCAGAGAACAGCCTCCAAATAAAAGATGTCACCCATGAGGTGGGCCTGAGGAATATCTTGCAAATCTTTCAAAACTACAGATAATGGCCAAGTAACAATAGCCAGATAAAATGCAGCTTTAGATAAACTAAGGGAAATGGATTTGCCAGTTCATTCCATTGCCCATCTTGATTACCAAATATGGCCAAACTAATAAGTCCAGTAGGCTGCCACAAGAATCATTTGTAATTAGAAATGGCGGCAACTTTTGAGTTTACAGCATTACACGCAACAAACACTTCTTGTTATTTATAAATAAGATAAGATTTTATACATAGAAAAAAGACACCAAGGGGGTGCCACACGTAAAATATATAGGGTAAATTATACTTACACCCCCTGAGGTTTGGATTCAATACATATCACCTCCTAACATTTGAAAAATTACACTGACCCCCCTTGTCATTGTAATTATTTAGACACAATTAACATTAGTATCGAAAAGACATTGAATACATACACTCTCTTTTCTTACTTTGCTTTACTTCTTTTGCTTTTTCTTTTTCTTCCCCTCCCTCCCTCCCTCCCTCTTTCCTTTGCTTTACTTTTTTTTTTCTTCAATCTAATTTCTTATGTTTTTCTATCAAGAGTTGTTGTCTTTTATATAAGTAGGGAGGTTTGTGAAATAAGACTATTAACTACAAGGGTAGGAATGTAATTTCAATAACGCCAAGAGGTGATATGTATTAAACTTAAATCTCAGGAGGTGTCAATGTAATTTGCCCAAATATATATATATATATATATATAATAATAGTGCATCACACGGACTATTGCCCCTAAACATACAACACATCAAAATCATTCAAAAGCCTCAGTCCAAAAATTAGTTCAAAACAACTCAACTCCATCTGAAAACCACTATACAAAATAGACAAAAATTTGCTCACTAATTTAAAGATGGATTCTTCCACCCCTTTAAAAATCCTTTTGTTTCACTCTCGCCAAATGATCTCCACAGTAAGGCTAGAGACACCAAACTTCATTCCTTTCTTCTCTTCCCCACCCTAACTCCTCCCCAATAACGAAAAAGATCTTACATATTTTTGGGAGAGAAAAAAAAAAAAACCTCCAAATATGCGGAGATAGCTAGCTGATTTCCCATCCTCCCCATCCTCATTGCACATGTAACGCCAATTCACGAGAACTGTCTTCTCCTCCAAAAATTGTTAATGGTAGAAATATTTTCATGCACTACAACCCCATCTCTCTCCACAGGAAGACATGACCCTTCATCCCCATTTTCATTAAAGGACTTCATCTCAAATCTTCCTAACTTAACTCCAATCCATCTCATCACGCCCTCTCCCTCTCCTGAAGACAGAGAAAGCATACTGATGACTTAGCAGCTCCAAAAGCTCTCCAATTTCATAATCATTCAACCATCTATGAAATGTATTATCCTAGAAAACTTGAGGTCAATCTCTTTTTGCATAACCACTAATCACTGCTCTTTTGTTGGTTTGTCATACAAGCAAAAGCAGGAAAAGACACTTCCAACTTATCCCCACCGCACCAAAGATGACTCCAGAATTGAAACCTATCCCCCATTCCCAGCACCAAACCAAATATAACTCATGCAGCCTTGTCATCCCCCACAAATACCCTTCCAAAGTCCCACGCCACGCGACATAGAAACCTCCAATGAAGGAGACCAATCCCCCATTTACCACATATTATGCCTTCACCATCCTCCTCCAAAATCTATCCTTTCATCAGTAAGACTACAAACCCAGATTTTTTGCCCAGCATCCTACCAAGAATTATTAATCAATGGTCTAGATATATTTCATACATGGACCCACACAACACCACTTCAATCTCTACCATACAATCACCATCTGGATAACTTTCTGGAATCCTTTTTCTGGGTGAATAGACTTAGGCCAAATTTAGCAACCCATGAAAAAGCCAAAAAATTATCTAAAAAGTTAAAAAGTTGTCACTATTCACCTATTAAAAATATAAAAATATTAATTTACACAATATTACCATACAAAGACGTGACTGGTGGTACCTGTGGTGGCAGTGCACTTTATTGAGCTGTCAATGGGGTAAAAAAAAAATTAGGTATATCTATTCATTAAATTGGAGGGTAATATTGGGCCAGTGGGGGCTATCACAGATCTCTTTTTGATAATCTGAACCATTCAATGTGTAGAACTCGTCGAGTACTATATGCCTATAAAAATCACGTTAATTGGATATCGCTAACTATATGATCAAATTAGTTTTGTATAAAAAATTGATGGTGTTATAATTAACGGTTGACAAAAAACTAACACGATCAGATAACTATCGATATCCGATCACCATGATTTTTCATAAGCATATAGTACTCGATGAGTTCTACACATTCAACGGTTCCGATTAGCAAAACGTGACCCGTGGTGGGCCCCGAAGGGCCGGACAACACCGCCAATTTAAGCCTAAGAAGTAGGCAATAATTTCCTATCTCCTAGTCTGCCACTGCTCTGCCAGACTGCTGTACGGGCTATCAATAACCTCTCGTATACATTTTTTATATAATTTTTTAATACACATTTTTCGTAAAAAGTTAAAAAATTAACCCAAACATTCATATTTTTTTCCTCAACTTTTTATTTCAAAAAGACAAGTGCACTTATTTAGAATACCCCAAACAACCCCTTACTGTAAAACAAATTCAAAGAGAGTAAAATAACCCTTCCTCTTGAAATTAGACTAATAGTTTTATATTTGTATTTGATGTTAGTTTGTTCACTACCAAGTCCAGACAAACCATAAGTGGGTATTACTTCGTACAATAATTTTTTATATATAGCAACAGATATGACGGGATATGCTTTGCCTCCAACTGAACAAAAGTCTTACTTTTAAAAGTGAACTTCCATAGGACATATTCTGAAAAGCTTAAAAGAATTAATGCATACCAACTTGTGCAAACAGATGAAAATTTTTTCTTTGAAAAAAAAAAGGCCTGCAATTAGTCTCAAAAATCCAGGTAAAGACCAATGTAGTTTGGGAAACAGAACAAGAGTCGCTCCAGGACTGAGAATATACCAATTTGATTAAACATAGAATATGTCTAGAAAAAATATAGGGTGCTAGACCACCAAATAACCAATAATTGTCCGTAACTCATAAACAAAGTGTGGAACTCAATGCAGACAGGTTCAAATTTAAAATATCTACTTGATTAGATATTCTTACCCAAGATTAATCTAGTGCACATACTAGAAATTTGGCAAATATCAGGGTCAAATTTGTATGTCCCTTCCAAATATGTCCTTGCTTATAGATAATAAGCATACCAGAAAACTGATTGATATAAACACAGAGAAGTAGGTGAGGAAATTACCAGCTTTCTTGGCTGCACGCAGAAGAAGCTCCTCTATTAGGTTCTGTGCGGGGTCTCCATCTGGAAACCTCTCCATAAAACTCTCAACATGAGAAACCACTTCCTGATTACTCAAGTACTGGTATAAGCCATCAGATGAGAGGACTAAAAACTGATCTCTTGGACACAGTTTATGGTGACGAAGAGATGGCGAGCAGGATATGTATGGTGCAGTACCAATATACTCATTCCGAAACATTTCCAATAATGCATCATTCCACTTGGGCTGCACCAACATGCGTGTCAAAAAAATCATTTAACTTGCCATATTCCTGATAATATATATATATATATAGAACATCCTATACAAGTTTATAAAACCAAAGCAACTACATATAGCGGAACCCATTTAGTTAGATGGATGAATTCTGGTGCCTACATTTGTGAACATATCATGTGCTGATGTGCAAGACAATAGGTATTGCATTTCAGCATATAATCAACACACCAGCTTGACGATTACATTACAATGCACATTCTACCATACTCACAGTTCAGTTGTTTTAAAAAGGAAAGTGCAAAAGGAGCACACGATAGAGAAATTTTGTGGTGCTCAACATTCAAGAGAATGTATCAGACTGACTTCATATCAGATGGAGAGTACATACAACACTCTAAAATTTCAAAAATTCAGAGTCACAAAGAATTCACTGTCATAGGGTGACTTGGATATTTTAAGTTGGAAAACGGCTTTTCAGAACCTTGATTACATTACAATGCACATTCTACCATACTCACAGTTCAGTTGTTTTAAAAAGGAAAGTGCAAAAGGAGGACACGATAGAGAAATTTTGTGGTGCTCAACATTCAAGAGAATGTATCAGACTGACTTCATATCAGATGGAGAGTACATACAACACTCTAAAATTTCAAAAATTCAGAGTCACAAAGAATTCACTGTCATAGGGTGACTTGGATATTTTAAGTTGGAAAACGACACTTAAAAGATACATATGCAACTAAATATTGTATAGCTATATAGCTGTGCTTGTGCAGCTACAATGCTTCCTATATAACACGTGCTTATATATTTCTGTCTAAACTTAATCAAAAATGCAGTGACATGTATATTTCTCGGTCTTTATAACCCTAAGTATGAACAAAGAAAATCATCAACACTCAATTTGTCATGGAAATGACCTCTTAACTGTTGTAGTATATCTCTTCCTCCAAGATTAATTCTTAATTTTGCAATTCTAGTGTAAAATTTAACTATGCCTTATAGACAAGTCACAGTTCAACACAATCTACTCCAACAGAACAGGAATATATATGGCATGGAAAAATTGGCTGAGTTTCCATGTGATATTAGATTCCATTTTTTGTTTTTAGCTAGGAACTTGGTATCTTTTGACTTTTTTCCTGGTAAGGCAAACTTATTGTCTGCAGAAGTCCTTAATACACTTTACAGTAAGAGAAAATCATCAACAAACCTGTTTGAGAAATCCAGCCCCAAATGCACGAGTAACTTTAAGACGACCTTTTACTCTATCATTGACAATACAATGGCTGTCATCCGGGTGTTCATTCTTGATTCTTATAATTTCCTGCAATAATTAATGTGAAGAATGAAGAATACAACAGAAAGGCTAATAAAAGCAAATTATCATCAACACCACACACAAAAAAAAAACAACAGGACAAAACAGAACATCTGAATATGAGATCTTTCTAACATACCTTTAACATGTTCCAGAAGCAAACATAAGTGTAACACAACATATTTCTTTTTTATTAAATCTTAATATCTTGTGAAGGCAATGTTGAACAAAGCTTCGCAGTGAAAACATACAATGATGTACTAAAATTACTACATAGAATTAAACTAACATAGAATGCAATGCCGTCCAGAAAATACATCAGGTCTGAATGATGGGATATCAATAAGATTGGAACATTCACTAATAAATGGCCTCTATATATATGTACAAAACAACAATTGAATAGAAGGATGAAGCAGAAAACAATGACAGAACAAAATAATATGGCATAGTAAATAGTGACACCTGAAAACACACTCTAAATCGAAAGTGGCTTCTCTCTTGGTTATAAGAGATTGCCCTTCAAATTGGCCATCCTAAGATTACAAACAACATAGGTGTTTGGGAAGTTGCTATTTTAGTAGGCTATTTTAATTTGTGGCTATTTTAGTAGGCTAAAATTTTTGTATTTGGGAAGATAGTTGAATTTTTTTGTAGTTGGATGTAATGTTTGTGAGAGAAAAAGTAAAATGATTATGGGTTTGATGTGACATTTTGTCTTATTGATTATTTCAGCCTATTTTGTATTTTTGTACATTTTAGCCCAAAAAGCCAAAAAATAGCCTTTGCCAAACACCCAATATAACTACAATATAAGATCACAAAAATAGTAAACTGTCGTAGATACCTAACAGCAAATCACATTGCAGCTTTACCAAGTAGATTAGAAGACAGGAATCAACATGTGACCCAATTCATAAGAAACTCCAAAGAAACTAAGTTCGAAGAATAGAGAGTCCCAAGGAGGTCATGGGTTCAATTTCCCTTAGGGGGGTTGAATTAAGGGAGTGCAAGCACTTAGGAGCTCCGCCAAGAGTGGGGAGATTTTGTTCCATAGATGCTAATCTAACAACTAACAACTACCATTTGCCAATCAAAAAAAAAAAAAGAAAAAGAAAGAGAGAGAGAGAGATCTTAGAAATTGGTTTAAATCTGAAAAAGGGCCTGCTTGAGACCTCTTAGATTCATGCTTTTGGTTGTTTTGAGTCATAGTTTGTATATCTTTAAGTCAACACACTACCCCGGGCTTAATTCTTACATTTTTTGGACATGACTTATGCTGGTGGGTCCACGTCTATTAGTTTGAGTCAACTTATAATTTTGGGCCTCTTATACATGGGTTTTAGTTGGTTTACATGGGTTTACAGGCGAAGTATCCAAGTTTCTAAATATAGTGCTCAAGTCCTATAGTAGAATAGGGCTTCCAAAAGAATACATAGAGCAACACAATTCTTTAAATTTAATGAAGAACAGGTTTAGACAAAATATTCAGCATTTTTCTCTTTGAGAATTTCATAATGCAATTCTAACCTCGGTGGATACCCAAGGGGACTCTTAAGAGTGAATCTTAAAGTTCCCTTAAAATATTCAGCATTCTTTTCCAAGCAAAATTTAAGCCATACTTTTCCAAGCTAAATTTTCTACTATAATCACAATAAGCCATACTTTCGCTGTTTTCTCAACCCAGAACCACACTTAAAAACTCCTATCCGTTACTCCACTATTCTTTTCCCTAACACCTAGTATCCAAAAGAGTTCTGGGCACCACTAGCTGTTAGCTCAAGTGATATCTCATGCCACCCCAAAAGGGGAGGGGGTACCTATCCTTACAATAAAAATAAAATATAAAAGAAGAGATAGTTATTCAAGCAACATTCTCATGAAATTCCAGTGGTGTATATCTCTAAACCTCAAACCAATTTCCACCGTTAAACTATACAATTCCAGCAACCAAAAGAACACACACCAGCCCAAATTACAGTTCATGGCAGAGACAGTCCTTAACTTTGTGTCTCCTTTCATTAAATTACCCACCTTATAAACCACTACAAACCTAAAAAATCCATAACTTCACTAATTTTCTACACACAAACACTAAGTCACTAACAATAATTAGCTGTAAACTCCTCTTTGGCACTGTCCTACTTCAAGTTTGGTAACAGGACTAGTAGGAGATATTTTTCGCACGCATCCTATATCAGTTTAAAGCCAACAGGAGGGTCTCTGTTGCAGTTGTCCTGACATGGTTTGCAACCATGAGCATTCTCCATTTTCATGATGGTTGAATAATGAGACATATCTTGGCCCAGCTACATCATAGTGATCAATCACTTGAAAAGGTCACATACATAATTTTTCAAATAGATAGGTTCAAGAATATTTCAACATAATTTACATCTTATCAAAGAATATTATACAATATATAATATATATGGTCCATAGCGTGTCCTCATATCCATATTCAACTTTTGAATACATATGTTAAATTGTCAATATCCTAAGATAAGGTCTAACGCTTGAACCCACACCACACCTAAACCTGCACTCACACCTGATACCTATACTTGAGTCCATATAACATATCAAACTTACTACATGTCAACAAATGATACATCCCCCAAGGCCTCAATGAAGTTGCAGATTTGATCTAAGTTCTCTCTCTATTTTGCACAGCCAAGAGAGTTGAGCCACCTATTGTCAGATGAGTTGGCTTCCCATGACTCACCACCACCGTGCATAAGGAGGCCCCACACATGTAGATCATCTTGCTCCTCTCCAGCATACAAAACTCTCCACTACCACCATCCTCTCCCTCCCCTAAGGTTGCTTTAACTCTCTCATCCACCTTCGATGGTTTCCATTCATCTCAATGCCTACCATCTTCCAAGAGGGCACTCCTCAAGCAACTCACTCCAACCATCCACATTATACTCCACGGAGGAATAGTGATAAGTGTGTAATTTGGAAGCCTATTTTTAAAAAACCCTTTCAAGATTAGGAAATGGAGTCCATTAGGGCTTTTCTTAAGATGCTTTAGGATATGGCGGTCCAAGCAAAGGTGGAGGATGTCATGGTTTGGAAAGGGCTGAATCAGTCTCTTCCTTTTATTAAAAGCAAGTGGGAGGAGGGGATGTTGATTCCTTATTTTGCTAGGATGGAGGCTCAGAAAGCTATACCAATGACAAATAACTTGAGAAAGATGTGCAAATTCCTATTGGATTGGTGTTGCAATTGCAATAGAGAGGGGGTGAGCGTGAATCATCTCCTTTTGCATTGCCCAATTGCAAGGGAGGTGTCGAGTATTGTATTCTCAGTCTTACGTGTGAAGTGGGTGATGCCTTGATAATTGAAGATTCATACACTTCTTGGAGTAAAGGTTATCCGAAGGGAAGCTTGAGGAAGGCATGGCAAGTTGCTCCTCTTTGCCTTATGTGGTATATGGAACGAGAGAAATAAGAAATCCTTCGGAAAAATAGGGTTTGATTTTTTTTTTTTTTTTAAAATGATTGTGCTTGTGTTCTTATGTTTCTCTAGCTTATGGAGACTTTTCTTTTATTTTCTTATATAATTTTGTTGATTTTTTTGAAGAGCCACATATCCCAGTAGATACATCAGAGAAATATTTTTTGATTTCTACATACATTTTGTCTTGTGCATAGGATCGCACACCCTTTTGTGGCATTTTTTTCTAATAAATTTTGTAGAAAACAATCAGCTGTACACAATTAACAGCAGCATTGATAAAGAACCTCAAAGAATAAAAAGGTGTTTGACAAGTGAACGGACCCATAACCCCTAAAGGCATAGAAATTGGCAAGACATAGGGCCAGGCATGCATTGCATACAGGAAAGATAAATCAGTACAAGTGTTTAAAAATCCAAAATTGACCATTATGATGTGCCTCTCCCAACAGGAGGCAAGGCAACAAGCAGGTTGACGTGAAGCAAACTGAGTCACACAAAGAAACAAGTCTATGGCCACAGCCAAGCCTGCAGCTATTGCTAATAGCGCCTTCGGCCAGAAGCAATGATCAAAGGTCTTATCAATAAGCTTAAAGAGCATAAAGATGGACATGGGTGTCCCTTTAGCTAACACCCACCTTAATAGTTGCTTCCTTAACGACCTGCCTAATGACGTAACCCAAAGGTACAAAAAGCAGAATTCAGGAGAAAGGCCGCCTGCTACATATATGTGATACGAAAGATAATTCTTAAATTCAACGTTTCAAACTTTTCTCAGGTCGTTCTATAAGTCAAGTTTTGATTCTAAAAGAAACATAGAAAGGGGAAGGAATAAAGTAGAAATCCTGAAGGTTCAAAAAAAGGATTCAATGATATCCAAACAACATTTATGTACATAATTTCTACACAAAAATGTGGCATCTTGAGGTCCTTTCATTTTCATGTTCTAGGCCAAGTTCGAATTAGACCTACTTTACAAAATTATTAGTAGTAACTAGTTCATTTTAAGGTTCATAATCATAATTTCAACCAATGCAGCTTACAACGAACAATATCTTCCGTGGGCACTTCAAGAAGATAAACTGTATTTGTGTAATCGAATTCTTATCAAGTCACCATATAAAAGGAAGTGGCAGTACTGCAAGATCCAAACCAATTATCAACATATCGAAAAAAGGAGATATGAATAAGTTTAAGATCTCCCAAAATTCGACACTTACTTCTTCGATGCTTGTGCTGTGATCAGTAGACAACTGCAATGCACTTAACCTCATAGCCTGAGTGGGAGCCTCACTTGCTGCCTCATTCACCTTCTCACCAGCATCTGACTCCTCAACTATGTCCTCTGCGATCGACACATTATCCATTAGCTGATTTGATATGCTACTACTAATTTCTTCGGGCTCAAACTGTGCTACAATAGCCCTGCTATCACCAACATTCATCACATACACATCCTCATCTCTCATCAGCACAACCAACAAACATGAACCCATCAAGGCAAGCTCTGGATTCCGATCAAGAACCTTATCAGTCATATCCAAATACGCAAGCTCGGTTAATTCAAGAGCCCTCGAAATTGCCCCCAAAACTAAGCCATGATCAACAGGACCCACCTTACGCTGCCTACGGCTTGTGCTCACACTCTCCTCAACTCTATTCTCAGCTTCTTCAATTTTCTCTTCTTTAGCTTCCAACCCAAATCTCCATGGAAACAACTTCCTACTCTCCTTATGCTTAATCAACCCATGTTTCAATTTCGATAACAATAATGACCGTCTATTAACCGCGGTGCCAGCATTGCTCACGCTAAGCGCATCATCTACAGAAAATGCAAATCTATCCGAACCCGAAAGATCAAGCCCATCTTCTGGGTCATCTTCAGCTAGAAATTCCCATAATCGCCTCCGTCTAATCTCAATCTGTTCCGATTGAAAAGTCACTTTTTTTATGGATCCTCGATCGGACTCCAATGCATTCGATTCGTTTCTACTTAATTGAATTTCCCCATCATTTCCAACCTCTCCACCGGCATTCTCAGTTAACTGATTCGTATCCTCTGCAATTACCACATTTTCTGAAATTGCACTCACACCTTCTCGGTCCTCAGAATCCCAAAATAAACCCTCTAGTTCATTGTACACAGCTTTATACAGATTACCCATCAAGAATTCAGGAGCATCAGGGCCGTTAAACCCATCATAAATCCCGACGAAAAGCCAACCATGCTCCCATGTTCTTCCGATACAACCACATGTACCCGATCCTCACCCGCCTTACCCAAAGCCCACTGAACATTACTACTCTCCACCTTCGCCTCCGATTCGCCGCCGTCCACGGCGGAGCCGACATCTTTCCGGCCGACGAAATTCCTCTCAGGCACCACCCACGGCCTCTTCTTCTCCGAAAAATTCCTCGAAAACGCTTTTCGAATTCCCGGAATGCCCTTCTTCCTCTTCTTTTTTACGTAAACGCCACCGAGCGGCGCCGAGAAAGGGACTCGACCGCCGTCCGAACCGCCGGTCCCTTCGAGCGGTCCAGAGAGGGCCCCACGCTCGATCGGACCGGACATGAAGAAGGACGGTTCGCCGCCGCCGCGAGGAACCGGTTGAAGAGGCAAGGAGCTAAACGACGACGTACTCTCGAACCCATTGACAATACTGGCTTTCACACCACCACCAAGGCCTACACAGTCAGTGGCATCGTCGTAAATGTTGTCCAACAAGAGGACTGTTCTGGGAGTCGAAGTGTTGGCACTGACCGAAGCTCCGGAGATGGACTTGAACCCGGTCTCCGGAAAGGCACCCGGTCTGGGCTTGGAGGGCGGTTCGTGGGAAGGAGAGAAGCGGAGCGAGTGAGTCGGAGAGACGAACCGATCGGAGGTAGGAGAGAGGAAGCGAGCGGAGGAGCGGACGTAGCAGAAGGAGTGACCTAGGGTTTCGTCGAGAGCCTCGGAGGCGTTGAAGATCAGCTCCGGTTGGTGGTGGGGCGACCGGTTCGCCGCCGTAGCCGGGTTGAAGCAAGGGAAGAGGTGAGAGAAACCAGTTCCCATCACATTTGATTCAAATTTTCATGAGAGAGAGAAATAGAAAGAGAGGGGAATCAGAAACTTGGGTAGGAGAGAGAGAGACAGAGAGAGAGGAGGGGGGACTGGTTTTGTTTTTATATTGTTTTGCGGGTTGATGAAGTATACAAAAAGGAGAGACCGACTATTTTGTGAGAGAGAGAGAGGGAAAATATATATATATATATATACTGAGTGATTATTTTAATTAATTTTTTTTGACTAATTGAGTGATTATTTGATGATTATAAAATTATATATACTGAGTGATTATTTTAATTAATTTTTTGACTAATTGAGTGATTATTTGATGATTATAAAATAAAAAATAATATAATTATAATTTAAATGTGATATTTTATTTAGTTATTTTAATTTTATTAAATATTTTCACTTAAAAAATGGTAAATTACACTAACAGTCTCTATAGTTTGGGGCTTGTGTCATTTTGGTCATTAACTTTTCAATTGTGAAACATTTGATCCTGAATTTTAAATATTGTTTCAAATAAGGACAATTGAATATACTATTAGATTTTTCAATGGCAAAATTGTCAATTTGATAAAATATAAATTAATTTGACAAAAATAAACGTTAAAAAATTATTTTTGAATTTTTAAAAATTATTTTTACCTACTAAAGATAAAATTATATAAAATTAATAAATCTTTAGAAATTTTTTTTTACCAAATTAATATTTTATTATGTATTTGGATGATAATCATGTAAAATTAATTTTTAAAAATTAATCATGCAATTTTTATGAATTTTTGTCAATTTTACATAATTTTATTTTCGGTGGGTAAAAATAATTTTAAAAATTTTTTAAATATTTTTTGACATTTATTTTTGTCAAATTAGTTTATATTTTATCAAATTGACGATTTTGCCCTTGAAATTAAGCAATGGTATGTTAATTGTTCTTATTTGGAACAATATTTAAAATTTAAAATTAAATGTGTCACAATTAAAAAGTCAGAGACTAAAGTGACATGAATCCTAAACTATAGGGACTATTGTGTAATTTGTCCTTAAAAAAACACTCCGACTGTAATTTTTTTGTTTTATTTTATCCTTTTCGGTCTCTCTCTCTCTAGGTGCCCTTTTCTTCCGTTGCTGTGCTGTTGTTGGTTCTTGGTTAACGGTTACACCTGGCTTTTTGTTTTTTATAAAGAAAAATATTGTACACATCTTTTTTTTTTTTGAAAAATGCTGGCTCTCTTTTTGGTTAAGCTTTTAAATTTTATTAAAATAAAAATTTGTTTAATAAAAATAAAGATAAATTAGTGAAAAGTTCAAATTTATGGGGCAATATGTTACTTTTGTTTAAGGTTTTTTTTTTTAATAATAACAACACGTATTCAAAAGTCACTGGTATCAAAAAAATTATGAAAAAAATGGCCAAAAATGTTGTTGACATGGGCCAGTATACTAATAAGCAACGATAGTTGATGAAGTAAATAGATAAATGATATTAGACAGATAGGTAACACAAGTACATATAGATAATATTTAGATTGATAAGTAGGCTTTGGACATATAAGTGTCCTTTTAGATAGATAATGTATTTTTGCCCATAAAATTTAAGCTTGAGTTTCGAAAATAGATTTCTAGCTAGAATGTCCTAAAAATAAACATCTCTAAAATATTTTAAAATTTTTAAAAATTATTTCAACCTAAAAATGAGAAAAATCATATATACAAATTATGAGTATTATTTTAATTTTTTTATTAAAATAATTTTTTAAATTTTAAAAAATAAATTTTGAAAACTCAATAGAATTCACTACATACACGGACCTCTTTTGGGAAAATAAATAAAAAAATCAGCTTATTAGCTTATTGGTTAATTTAAGTCACATTACTTTTCTATTTTTACACGTCTTTTCATAATAAATTAAAAAATAAACTTATTTAATATTTTTCAAAACGGGCTAAATTTGTACCTTGAAATTTGTCATGAAAGTGAAGCATATGTTTTAAGAGCAATGATTCATACCCCCTTAAAAGTCCCACCCCCACCACCCCCACACACACGTGGGGTTGGGGATTGGGAGATCATCAGAAAAAAACAAAAAAACAAAAAAAAAAAAGAAGAAAAATTAGCCAATCAAATGCAAAGGGGGCACCCCTTTATTGTATGTTCTAAATCTAAAATTGTATGATGTGAGTTATACTTAAAATAAAGACCTATTGATGTTATTTTTTTTATTATTATTTTGAATAAGTAGTTTTGTTAAATTTTCCTTCGAGTTCATTTTACCAATCGGCGTGACATGTGGTAAAAAAAATTTGATATAATTTAAGCAAAATTTTCACATTAGTATATATAATTTATTTTGAATTCTCTAATTTTACATATATATATATTTTTAAAAATTTTAATAATAAGTAATAAAGGAATCACATTACAACAACAATAAAAATATATGATTCAAATTATTCAAATTAAAATTATGTAAATTAAAATAAAATTTTACTTAAATTAAAGACACCAATGATATAATTTACACATTTTGGATCCATAACTATTGCCAAACGACAAATGTGTCCTAAATTCCTTTCTTAAAATAAAAATAAAAATATTTTTTTAAAATAATAATAATAATAATAATAAAAAGCGAGAGGGTCAACGTAAAAAAAATTCCAGGAGGTTTGAAAGCGTTTTTGTCGCTTTTGATGTTTGGGTGGACCAAACGAAAAGGCCTGACCACCCCCTAGGCCCCAAAGCCCAAGCCCATCTTGTAAAGCAACTTTGTATTCTATTTGACTACTTTACCCTCATCCCCAAAAAAATGAAATAATACAAAAAGACTACTTTACCCTTGAGTATTAAATGGACTTCTTCCTTTTTTCGTTTTCTTTTTCTTTTTGACCTTTCTCATTTCATAAAACGAATTATTGGATGCAAAGCATGACTTTCCCGTGGAATTCCACAATTTTTTTTATAAAAAAAAATCACAATTTTGACACTCAAAAAAAAAAATCTTAATTTTTATATAATTTCATAAACAAATTACAAAATATTAATTTTATCAAAATCAAATGTGTAACAAGAAATTTATGACAATTGAAAGTATTGAACCAGTAAAACAAAACTCATTCAACAAGCAACCCACATTACTAAATATTCAATAGCAATGATTCAGAAATTTAATAGTAGAGTTCTAATCAAATTCTACCAACAAAATTATCCAAAAAATGAACGTTAAAAAAAGACCAATTTTGCAAATAATTTTTATCGTGTGACTTTCTCATCAATATACTTTATGTTTATGTATGATTTTGGTCAATCATGGTCTAGATTTAATTATATCTATTATGATATTTTGTTAACGATTGTTATAAAAAAAATTGTTAAAAATTTAATTTAATATTTTTTTATAAAATTTTATGCTATAGAAAAAATGTATAATAATTTTAATTTTATTAATTATTGCATTTAAAACATTCGTCAATATGGTCAACCGGCACCAAATTCTCTCTCCTCTTTGTTTGTTGTAATTCTTTTTATTTTAGGTCCTCAAACCTTTTTATAATGGCCTGATAATAGTAATTTTATATCTACTTTTTTATGTTAAATTAGAATAATATAGATATTATTTTTTGGAAGTCGCACAATGAACTTTTGCCACTCAAGTCAAAAAAAATATAAATATAAAATATAACCCCACTTTGATTATTAATAGAGAAAAATGGAATAATAAAAATAAAAATAAAAACTTTTGCAATGAGGAGAGAGAGAGTAGAGAGAGAAATTGCATGTGAAGGTGGGAAGACAAGTCAGTGATAAGTCAAAGAGTTTGTTGGGTGCGCGAAATCTTGAAGCTAAACGACAACTCCTATGTTTATTGTCACGCGGTACGTGTGAATGCCCTTCTATCAAAACAAACAAATTTGTTTTTGCCTTTCTTTTTTTCTTTTTTTTCTTCTAAAAAAATTCTTCCTTTTAGTTTAGGTTTTGAATAGACTTTTAAATTTTGAATTATATTTTAAAAAATAAGTGTTTGAAAAAAAAAATTAAAAATTAAAAACTTATTTAGTTATGAGTTTTAAAAATAATTTTAAAATGATTTGTAATTTTTTTGTAATTGAAATATTTTAAAAAATAAGTGTTTGAAAAAAAAATTGAAAATCAAAAACTTATTTAATTATGAGTTTTAAAAATAATTTTAAAACGATTTGTAATTTTTTTTGTAATTGAATAGAATAATGTGAGAAAAAAATTGATTGATATGTAGAATATTAGAGAATAGAGAAAGGAGAGAGAGAGAAAAAAAAAATCGATTAATTGATGTGTAAAAAAAAGAGAGAGAATGAGAGAGGAGAGAGGAGAGAGAAAAAATAATTTTAAAAAATGATAACCAAACATATTTTTTGATATTTCAATCCAAAAATTAATTTAAAAATTAAATCAAACACTAACATAGAATTTGACATATTGTAACAAATTTAACCCAATTTTTTTTTAAATGTTTCAATTTAAATTCTCAAATTTTAAAATGATAACAATTCTATAATTAAGAGGTTTGTTTGTAATGATTTAAATAAGTATATATTTTAATTTTTTACGAAAACATATGCAAAAAAGTAAAATGGTAATGTGACTCAAATCCGTGCAGATATCGAATAAACTTTAATATAACAGGGGCAATTTAGATAATTTAATCATTTTTTTTTCCTGGTGGTGCCATATGATAGCAGTGACTGGGGGTGTTTGTTTGAGCTGTTTTGAGCTAACTTATAGCTTTTAGCTTTGAAAAAGTTATTTTGGACTGTTTGGTTAAATTTATTTCAAACATTTTCTAATTCTAACAACTTATTTTAACTCAAAAAAACTGATTCTGAGAAACTGCTCATCCATTACTTCTGATTATCAGTTTTTGCTGTGGACATGTTAATTTACGATTATACTCTTAGATTTTTTTATTTTTTATTTTTTTAAAAATAGAAAAAAACTCAAATGGATTATAGATTATTATTATTATTTTTTTTATGAAATGTAGACAAGTGGTGAATAACAAAAAAATAAAAAAAGAATTGAAAAAATTATTTCACAACTTATTTAACAAGTACTACTTAGCAACTTAAATCTATAATCCAACAGTTACATCAAACAGATTAATAAC